TGTGCGGGTTTCGGGCATCAAAAATTTAAGATCGTTTAAATTGTGGGCTTTTTAGTCCGGACCGTTAAACCCACGGGTTTAATGGGTATAACCGCGGGCTACCCACGAAACCCGCTAAAGCCCGCTTAATTTAAAATTCATAAAATTTTAGAGAAAATAAACTTAAAGAATTTTATAGAAAAAGAAAATAAATTACCTATAAATATGATGTTACTTATAACTATTGTAGTTCTTAAATTTATTAGGATGTTTGTCATAATTTTACCGCTGCTTGATATTTTTTTCATTTAAATATACATCATTATCATTTTGGTATTTAAAGATTTTTTTTATTTAATTTTGATCTTTATTTTTTTTCATGAAGTATGTTATCCATTTTGTTCTTTAATTATAAAAAATCACGTGATATTCTAATAATATATCACATGATACGTAATATTTAGATTAAAAATAAGAAAAAAAAAGTTAAAGAAGAAATAGAAAACATATTTTTCAACTTTTAAAGACTTTTACAAAATAAATATATTTTAACAAATTAATGACTTATATTTTTATCAATTTTAGAATAATTGTATCTTTCAAATTTACTCTTATACCGTAAGTATTTTATTTTATATTTTCATATTATGTTTTAGTCTTTCTTTAAAGTATTCATAAAATACAATTATTAGGATCACTTGAACTTTCTTGTTAGATTTGTATAATGTTTGACTTTGTTGAATTTTTATGTTTGAATTTATGCTTTCAGACACTTATGTGCCTTCATATTACAGCCTTAAATAATCGTGTTTTATAAAAGTATAATGTGATTATTGTTTTTATTTGTTTTTTAATTTGGTGATATAAATGAATATTGTTTTCTCAATTTGATTTTAAGTAATTATATCATTATATATGTATATATATATTAATGATTAAAAAAATTAAAAAATATTGTTTTATAATCATTTTATGCTATTTAAAATAAAATTTAAATATTATTTATTATTTTAACGGTGTTACCTTCATTTTCAAGAATCATTTTTAAAGGTGTAGTAAGTTAAAACATTATTTTTTTATTACATTTAAAGTATTTAAAATTATTTTTATTTAACGGGCCGTGGGTAAACCCGTTTAGCCCGCGGGTTAAATAGACGGGCCACGAACCTTAAAATACAAAATTATTTATGAATACGAGCTTTTTAACCCGCTCCATTTAAGCTCACACCGTTAAAATCCGCAGGCTAAACGGAACCTCTAGTTAAAACCCATCAATCAATTGTCCAACAATATTTCGAGACGCGTAACTTTAAATATATATATAAAACAAAATTTTTACTTGGTTGGAAATAAAAAAAAATTCGTTGTACTTGTACAAAATAATTATGTTTTTCAGGTTTCATTTGATTTTTAAAAATCCAATATTCAAAAAGTACTATTATAATTATTTATAAATATATTAAGTATAATAATAGTTTTTATTCTAAACTCGGATCTGATTTGACTCAAACCATTTTGAAAAACTTGACTCCAGCTACCCTAAAAAAACTTGGCTCAAATCCAAAATTTTAAAATAAAAAATTACATAATCAAATTAGATCGAATTGAAATTCATTGGATCCGAGAAAAATGTCCATTTCTAAAAATAACACACCATTAGTATGAATAAATTTATAATCTACGTATTATTTTCGGATGGAGCCAGGATCAAATATAAGGAGGGACAATGCGATATGAATTAAGGGACAAAGAATGCCATCTAAATTGTGGGTCTTTCTTGAATTTTCTCCTAAAGGGACAAAGAACATGGGGAGTAGGGATGGATTAAGAGAAAGAGGTAGAGATAGTTGTCCTACGTAAATTTAAAATTATCATATATTTTAATTTTTTATTAGATATTTGTTTTCGTCCTCTGAAATTTTAAAAGTTTATCTCGTAATATAAAATTCTATGTACGTCCGTTTTGAAAAGTTCCTTTATAACACCTTTAATTGTGAAGGAAGCTATTTTGATTAGGATCTTATCATTCTTGCATTCTGTGATTGCAAGTGCAACATATTTTATTTGATTTATGTTCTGTTGGTGTCATGTTCTGGAGGAGAGCATAAATACAGAATTTGTTTGTAGGTGAATGCAATTATTTACTTAATAGACTCATATGACAAGGAGATATTTCCCGAGTCGTAGAGAGAGTTGGATGCTTTCCTCTCTGATAAAGCCTCGACTAACATCCCATTTCTCATCTAGCAACAAGGTTGATGTCCCATGTGCTGTCTCAGAGGATGAGATCTGCTACCTCCTGGGGCTCACCGACTTCATCACAGGAGAAGGTAAGGTCAATTTGGGAGACTTGAATGTTCGACCCGTGTTAATGTGTAGCACTGTTCAAAAAATAGGCTACAAAGGTGATTTCAGGTGGTTTTCTCGGTACATTACATAGGTAGAGGTACAACAAATTTAGCTTGCATTGTTTAACACCAAAATATAACGTTAAATATGATTTAAAAAAATAGTTAGTTGTTCAAAACTTAACCATGATAATAAATGAGTTATTAAATAAGTGGTTTATCCTATAAACAAAAATCTTAATTTATCTTATGTGAATTTTTTTTCTTTTTTAAAAGACTTATAAGCTACTTTTATATCAATATATACAAGAATTAATTCAATGCATGTGATTTTAAAACTTAATTTTTTTCCTTTAATTTTTTAATTCTAATGAATAAAAAAATTACATTTTTATTCAAATTTTCTATCCAATATTATTTTTTTTAACTTTTCATCTTTTTGACCTTTTTAATTTCTATCATTTGACTTCCTCGTCTCCCCGGAATCCTTGATTACCAAGCCAGGCCAACATGGGAATAATAAAAGTTTATCTATAAATGAGTATTAAATAAAACATCGTGATTCAAGTTGAGTGGGGATGTAGCTCAGATGGTAGAGCGCTCGCTTAGCATGCGAGAGGTACGGGGATCGATACCCCGCATCTCCACATATGCTTTTATGGACTTTCTATTGCTCTCATCGAACTGTATATGTTCAGCCTCTCTAGACACTGCATTAATTGAGTCTTATAATTGCGGATGGCAAACTGAGATCCAAGAAATATAGTAAATTTTTATTTATCAAACTTTTGGCAAACGGCAAAGACAATCAAATTACAGCTGTGGCTTACAATTCAAGGCATAGGAAAAGAAGGCGTTGTGATGAACACAGACTACTCTTCAAACTTTACGGTAACCCCATCGAGGAATAATGCAGCTAAAGCCTTTAGGAAGCCTGGGACTAAAGTTCTCATCCCTTCCATGTGCTGCTGATGATGATGGCCGCCATGCCTCGGCTCTTCTCCCCGTCTTGTGAATGGCCTTCACCACCGCTTTGCAATCCACATATCCCAACACTGTGATCTTATTTGATACCCTGTCTATTTCCACGCATTTTACTCCTACATAAATAAAACCACCAAAAGCAAACCCTTTTAAGTCATTTTTTATCCTGATTTTTCTTTCAACTCTACTTGTATTTCTGTTCAGCCATCTATCTATATATAGAAAAGGAGTTCATGGATACCATTGATGTTGAGCAAGGATTTCCTGACAGCTTTCTCGCAAGCTTTGCAGTGTAAACGTACCTTGAATTCAACCACCTGCAACATCAAAAACCAGTTAGCTACTTGCACAAATAAGAAGAGAACTTTGGGGAAGTTAAGAGAGGAAAGGGAAAAAAAACCTCCATGGTGTTTATCATTCTTTACATAAGGCTCAGCTGGAACACATATATAATGTTCTTTTTTTAGAATAAAAAAGGAAGGGCTGGCCATGGCAGGCTTGCCAAATCATATGATGGCTCACTTGCTTTCATCATGGATAAGTATTGCACAAGTAAACATGTTTTTGTGTACTCAATGTGGTCCGTGATTGCCTCCACAAAGTAGTGTTTGATAAACTAAAATAGGTTTAAACTAAAGCAAGGATGACAAAAGTTTTGAAAAGTTTCTTTTTTTACTATTAAAGTTTAAAAAGTTGTGTTATGGTCACTAATATTATAGATGTAAATAGCTGTAACAAAAGTAATATATTTTAAGTGGTGTCATTAATATATTATTAGAAAATAAATGTAATTAATTTTAACCGCAATTTAATCTAAATATTATTTTTGTCAACAATACAATAAGTATCCATAATAACTGTAATCATGGAATTTTGGACTCCAGAACATGTTTTCTACATTCCACCTTCCATTGCCATAAATATGTATATATATATAATAATATATAGAGAGAGACGTATATGCTAGGTAGACGGTGAACTACAACAAGGAGAAAAGGGGTATCTTAAGATTAAGAGGGCCTTAAAGCAATAAATCAAAAACTAATTCATCAACTAAGCAAGTTAATATAGTTTTCTCAACCTCTAAACCCTCTTGAAACGCTTCCATATCAAAATCAAGCCACCTCTCATGCTTTGTGTTCATGTTCTTGCCTACAAGGTCGTCCACCACCAATATGTTCCCCATGTTTCTCCAATCCTATATCTCTTTGTATAACTCTTCTGCTAACCATCCTTTGTTTTGGATCAATTATCCCCACTTAGCCCATCCTTTGCAGCTTCCGACAAAAACTTGGTCGTACCGTGACTCCAGGGATTCACTCACGCAATCGAGTAAAAGTTTTAGTTTGAGCTTGCTGTGATCTACACCAGGGTTTCAAATCGCGGTCGCGGTCGCGTTTTCGGTTATTTCGGATTTACCGTGATTGCGGCCGTCGCGGGCGCTATTGCGGTCGTCGCGGACGCTATTGCGGCCGTCGCGTGTAACTCGGACAGTGGCGAAACCACTATATCGCGGACGAAATCACGGTCGCGGACCGTTTTTTGAAACCCTGATCTACACTGTGTCCTTCGGTTCCATTCCAATGCTCGAGCTCATCGAAAGCATTCAGGGTCACGATATTATCGGTCTGACCCAATGCATATTCTATGAACTTTAGCTCAGAGTCTTTTAGCACCATTTTCACATAATCAAGATCGGAATTGGTTGACTCTTTCAAATCTGTTGATTTTTGATGTCGTAGTTGGAAGCTTTCCATCCGTTTCTCCCACGATCTGGGAAGACTCGATTACAGGCGACGAGCTTAACACTTCTTCATCAGGAGCCAAATGCATTGTGCCTGCAGATGTAGATTGCATGTAGTCAATGCAGCAACTCGATTACCGAGTTTACATATTAATCATATTGTTTCTAGCTGAATATAAAATATAATGAAATTGGTCAAGTGGAAGAAACTTGAATCTCAAGAAATAAGAGTACAGCTTACCGCTGGTACCACTATCTCTGCTATCAGCAGAACACTCGCTCATGGCAGCAAGTTTGAGAGTTGAAAGTGGGCTAGGATGTTGCAAATCTAATTCTTCGGCAGTCTCGCTGCTGCTTTCACTAGCATTTCGATCTTCAATTTCTTCTGAAAGCTGGCAACATTAGATAAACTTAACAAACACATGCCATTATATAAGTAAATGGTAGCAGTGAGTGAGTAAACCAAAACTCCCACTTCCTTCTCCGATCAAGCCCCGGATTGTTGATTGAAGAACGGTTTAAGTCAGTGGGAGCTATGTGATGTCTTTTAGATCCACCTGTAGTCTTTCATGATGTCCTGTTGATGTAGTAGTGGTCAATGTACCCAGTGGGAGCTCTGAAGTTTTCTGACTTGATGCAGGACTACTTGAGGTCTCCTCTAAAATGATATTGCAATTAGATGACTCAACTCTATATGTCAATTCCTCAAGCTTTTTCCCAACAATAACACTCAGATCATCACCGCCGATTATATTGAGTCCGAAACAGAAAATCCTGAGCTTTTCGAGACCAGTGGATCATTATCACCAGAAGGATCACTACCAAGTTGCAGCTGGTTTCTGCAACATGACTTGAGGAAGGTACATTGGGCATGGATATTTTGATGGGGGATGTAAATGTAAAAGAAACAACATCCATGCTTGTCTTCATTTTCTCTGCATCTTGATTCGAGTTCCCATCAGTTGTAGTAGCATTACATTTGATGGACCTTTCACCGCCATTCATCGATGAAATTTTGGAAACTGGTTTTCCGGACAGAAGATCCTCATTTACAAGCTGTTTCTTTCTAGACGAATTCTTTTGTCTAGACATGAGAAGTTCCTTTGAAGGACCAGATGCGGAGGATCTCATGTTCCTGGATTGAGATTCGGAGTTGACTGTCACCTTGCTTATAGTCCTACTCAACCTGACCCTACCATTTACGGACCTAGCCTTTCTACCTTGCTGGTCCAGAGTCGAAGTCTTTGATGTCCATTTGTCTCTATTAGATAAGCAGTTCTGCTTCTGATTATTCTGCCTCAGGACATTGTTAGTCGTATTCGCAGTTCCGTTCTCCACATTCTTTCGTGCATCTGCTGATCCCCTAGAAGAATGTTTTGGATTTGCAGGACTCTCGTTATCACTTGAAAACGACCCCTCTTTCCTCCTAACATTAACCCTTGATTGTTCTGCAAGTGAGACTGGTTTCCCCTTATTCCTCAAACTGTTAGAACTACCTTTTTCTGAATCCGATTTAATGTGACTCTTGCCCTTATGTTGTTCTTTCGAAGACTTTGCTACGCTCTGACTAGGCTGGTCAGGTCTTTGAGGTCTGGATACCTTATGTGCAGCTTCAATTTTCCCTTTCAAATCCCGGATTTTCAAAGGAACTGAAGAAGACCCGAACGGCAGCAGTTTACGATCGGATGTTTTCTGAGGACCAACCTCGATAATCTTTGCAGCTGCCTCCAAAATATAAGCTGCGTTCTTGGTTGGGATGAACCCCGGACTCTTGACAGGAGACAAGAGCTCATGGTGAGTTATTGGAATTGGTTTTGCCGATTTCAGAGGCAATATTTCAGTCTGAAATCTCTCAATCAGTCCTCAGTTCTGCACCTTACAAAACCTCGGTTCAATCGGACTTGAAGATGACCTATCAAGCTTGTTTGAGGTGCCAGTGTGGCCCATAGGTTGACAGCTCCGAGACGCCGAATATGTAGTAGAAGATAGCTCCGAGACGTTCGGTGTAGGCAACGAGTGCAACCCCATGAGCCTAGCAACAAGTCCAGGTGCTCTAGATCCACATCCTTCATCACTAGTCACCGAAGAAGCAGAACTAAAATCAGGACAGCATGTAGTACCTGAAGCGCCATTGTAGGCATCCCCATCCATCTGGTAAAGATTACAGAAGTAAACAATAGAGTCTGAAACTCAAAATCCAAATCCATCACTAATTAGTACCGTATAAGGCTGCGATTTCAGTCGATTCTCCACTGGTTTTCCTCTCTCTGATTCTCCTACAGTTCGCGCGCGCGCACACACACACACACATGAGGTTTCAGCATTGTTTGAGAACAATTTCTTTCGAGATTTGCCATTCCAATCAAACAAATGAAGAAGTCCTCCCCTCAACTGTTTCTTTCCGACCTCCATTATCGCATCATCAAACATGAATTTTTACTTTCATTTGCTAAATGCACCATCTTTCAAGCAAGAAATTGAAGAAAGTAGAGTTTTTTTTTCTGGCAAAAAGTACATGAATCAGGTAATCAGATCTCAATGATCCAACATGTAAGAAAAACCATCACCTTGAATTCTTCAAAAGCTGCCAAAATTCATGATCCAAGCACCAAGATCCTTCTTTTGACACATGAGAACAGGTAAATCAAACTGGGTGTTCTTCAAATTGAACAAAGAAGTTCAATCTTACTACAACTCAAAAATCCGAGCACCATTTTTGGTTTCTTCCATGTATGGTAAGGATCTCTTTTTCCTTTTATTGCAACTAAAATAATAGTAATAAAAGAATGGATTTGGTTTCTAAGTAAGAAATGGACAGAAAAGAAAGATCCTAGCCTGGAGGAAATGATATTTTAGTGACAATAGCAGAGATACATAGAGACAGATTATGTTGACATTTGATAAGATACAGAAATCCGATTATAAAAGAAACAGTTAAAAAAGAGTAAGGAATGCCTGTCTGGTCTGAGTTTGAGCAATAAATATTGCAGAAACGATATTATAATACAAAACCTAACTCAAATTGTGAATCCAATCAATTAATTACCCTTGTCTTGTTATTTTCTTCGGGAACTCTTTCACCGATGGGCCATGCCACATGGAGCAGCTTTACCATGAGTTTCCACTTTTCCTCGCTGCTTGCAAGACGTGGCACACGACCAACAAACAGTTTTTGTTTCCCTCACTGCATGTGAAATGTACATATCATTTTGAAAATTCAATCTACTGCATGGGTTCCACGTGGCTCACCGTTCCACTTATTTATCTCCCCAAAGACAGTGTCGAGTTTTAAAATTCATGTTCCAGAAATAAAAAAAAAATTCACTTTTGCAAATTATTGGGATGATATTTGTTTTCTCGAATGGTTGAAGAAAAAGAAATTAATTTAATCATTTTATTATAATTTAGTCTCTTAATTTGTGTTTCATTAAATTTGACCAATGTTTCATCCACGTAACCCTTTTCTTCACACACAAAATAATATCATAAATATATTATATAATTTTAGAATATTTCATCAATTGCATGTGCTATTTCTCAAATTATACAAGTATGGGATTCAAATGTCAATATCTGCAATCTCGATTTATCACAAGAAATCCTGATACAGTATAAAGCCTAGCTGCAACATTCATGCCTTCAACTACAAAGGAAGTCCTGAGATTTGTACCATATTTACAAGCTTTCCTGTCAAGTATAAACCCTAAGCCCTAGCAGATCAACCGGTTGAGATTCGAGTTAAGATCGCCCTTTTCTCTATGTCGCAATCGAAAACAATTTATAACCTTGTTGTAATGTGATTGGTGTGAAAACTAAAACTCTCACGGCTCGTGGTCCTCGACTCCCGGTTCGTTTCTAGGTCGAGGTTCGTTTTTAGACTTTTTTGGATTATCCATGTGAGAAATCTGCAAAATAATCCTGAAATAAGACTTGGATGGTATTAACCGGCCGCTAAACATAGGAGCGTTACCATGTACTTACAATATGGGATTTCCACTCGATTTTGTCATGCCTGCCTAATGCATTAGCGGTAAGGGAATGGTCTCGTACACGGTAGAATATTTGAATAAGAACAGCAGCATACTCAAGCTGAACAAAAATTCAAGAAATTTCCAAAAAATGTAAACACGGTTGCAATATCCTCTTGCTTTATTTAAGCTGCAAATAGGAAAGTTTAAGTAACACTCATGGATATATACCTGATTCTGAGTCAATGGTCTTTGTTCCCAGTCACTATTCCGTCTTGTTTTATTTAAGCCGGCTCTCAATATTTTCTGAGTGGGAGGAATTGTGAACCATTAAATTTGGGGGAAATGAAAGATAAATAGAAACAGAGTTGTATTTGAATAGGAATTTGGACAGGAAGCATAAACTCAAATTTCATGTTTAACTTACCTCTGCAAGACCGGAGAGGCCACCTCGGGGATCTTTGAACATATTTTGGATGTCCAATAGCATATTATAGCACTTGAAACACTTTAAATCTCCATATGATTGAGCTAGTTGCTTTAAATCACAGTGAAAACTATAACCTACAACATGTGCACCATGTTAAAAGAAGGCAACCTTCCTTAACTATACAATCAAGAACACAAACTTTCGTGTGTGTATCAAGATAGTTTTAATATATCAGACAAGCTGACAAGAAAAGAAGGATCAATATACTGGGAGAAGATATCCCTCTTCAGAAAAAGACAGATTATCGTACCAAGTTTTAGAATTCTTGGAGACTGCAAGATGCGAGTTAGGCAGTTGTCTAGAACAGCAGGCACATCCTTATATAATTTTATCAAGTCAAATATGAAAACTTTCTTATCTGAAGCTATTTGCATGATAGAAACCTGATACATGGAAACCCAGATTAATTGTTTAAGGACAGTCATCATAATTCATAATCGATAAACAAAAAAATGCAAAACAAGTCAATTATGGTAATACTCATTTCAACTTTGGTTCTAAGCAAAAAGTTTCCGAGGGTCAGACCTATATCAATCAAGAGAGATCTCAAACCATGGGAAATGGAAGAAGATGATACCATGCTTACCTTGTTTGGTTTGCTACCTTTTACATAATTGGGTTTCCATTCACAGTCAAGGCCCACAACTTTGGAACCCTCAATGTGGCATGTAGCCTCACCAAGACCATTAAGTTCGTCCACCCAAATTATGGCTTCTACTAGCAATTCATTGAGATTTAAAAAGCGATGAGGCAGAAACTTGCTTCATGTTCTGAACAAAAGAATAACTAGAAGCATGAGACTCTGCCTTTCACATAATCATCGAAGAAGGCAACAAAATCTATACATCTAAAAGTTGTGTACCGAGCCTGAATAAACACGAAGCACTAGAGTTGGTATTAGTGGTTATAAGTTTTGCTACACATTCATACCCTATATATCATGTTCCTTTATTTCCAAAAACAAGGCCTCTTAGTAACGATACATTGTGCTTTTGGAAAACCTTCAAGGGAGTAACGATCACACAGTTCATCAACCTTCTCAAAGTAACCAAATTCCATAGCCAGATAAACCTAACACCCAGAGAGTAAATTTTTTAACATCAATAGCAAGTTTTCAAAATCAACAAGGTATAGAAACATACAAGAATATGAGAAAATTGAGAAAAACGAATGAGTTGGCAAAAACTCCAAAGCTCAATTTCATATTAAACAGACTTTTGAAAATGATATATCATCCATACTTACCAGATACTCAACTAATTGTCTATCACCATTTGCCTTGGCCTCTGCCACATCCCAGCATGCTTTTTCTGCCAACTTTTTTAGCGCGCTACAAAATGGTAAAATAATAGTATCATATGGAGGAGCATATTGCCGGTATGGGGAGTAAGATGCAGGTACCTTTCTATGTATTTGTGATGCACATCTGGGAATTCTTGCTGGAGATTGTTCTTCTTTACAATCAAATAAGCAAACTTTAGCTTGTTCCTGTCAATATACTCCTGGACGAGTATGGATAACATTGGTTGCCCCATAAACGTTGCCCACTTCTCTGCTGCTCGGAATTCCTTGTTTTCTATCATTTTGAGAAGAAAAGATTGCCCAGATTGATGGATAGAGAAATGTTCCAACAGGTTCACTGCTGCCGTATATGACTGATTCTATCAATCCAAATATATACTGCTCGACAAATGTCTTTACATTGTGAAACCTATGGTCATTCTTGGCCTTCAATTTGGATTCAACTTTCTCAATATCTGTCAATCTGACATCAAATACTTCAATTATCTTCACAGCAATCCTCTCGTCATAGTCAATAGTACCCTCAACAATATCAAGAAATAACTGTGCAGCTAAAGATTTTGCTGCCGAATAGTCTCCGGTGGTGGCTTCTGTCTTTAGAAAACGATGAAAAGAAGATACAATCAAATGACTGAAGCCCTCACAATGTGATCCAAAAATAGGCAGGACATAGAGACAATGAGCAACAAAAGTTGCTGGTCCTGGTTGGGGAGAATTACTTAGAACTTGGTGGACTTGTTGTTGAAGAGCTCGGAACTTTTTAGTTGCCTTCAAGCTTCCTGTAAAATCATTCCAGGGAATGGGAACAAACAAGAAAAAAAGGCAGGGAAATCCACTGCATTATAACCAGTTTCTTGCAACACAGTAAACAAGGTAGGGAAACCTTTTCCCAGCGAATGATAAGATTGGCAGTGAAAAGAAGCAAAAACTTTACCATGAACATAACATTCTTTAAGAAGGTATACGAATACTACTGGAACAACATAGGTTAGATCCGCAAAAGCATGCAGGCAAATTGTTTTCGTTTCACAAGCTTCATCTTGCAGCTTTATAACTTCTTCCTCAAATCCCATTTCAAAAAGGCACAGCCAATGCTACTGAAGTGGGATCCAAAAAAATAAAAAACAACGAAGCATTAGCTTGAACGCTGCATATAATCACATATTGTCATGTACCATTCTGTAATTTTGGCTTTTTCAAATGCTAAATTCATATGTAAAAATCTATTCAATATATATATATATATATATATATAAATCAAATACAAAATCCAGTTCGAAATCCAGGAAAACAAACAACAACCCAAGCAAGCGTTTAATGCCATGTTTATTCCTTTTCAACTTTTTTTCTTTCTAATTTTCCCTCCATTTTTTCAACATGCAAAGAGAAAAGTATACAACTATATATTCTACAAAAAAAATTGAACAAACATTGGTTCAGTCATACCAAAAAAAACAAAGCAAATGATAATTAATTTGAGAACTTCAAAAGTCAAACCATTAAGAGCTTGAACCAAATAATTCAAAGTCATTAGCTTTAGAAGATTTCAAAGAGAAAATAAAAGAATTAATCTCAAATGATTCAGAATTTGACTAATAATTGCATCAATAAGATCAAGAAAATAATTTCTTCTGTTCTCTTTCATTTTCCGG